TTTCAGTAAAGAAGTTCTTCCTAACATCCAAATAAACCTCCCCTGGCGCAACTTTAGCCCATTCCCCCTCGTCCTGTCACCAGGCACATGGGAGAATTGACCAACCCCCACCTCGCTACAGCCTCCTTTAAGGTACCTATGAGCCCCATGGAATCTTGCTGCTCTGTGCTGGACTTGCACTGTGGTCTAGTTGTCAGGTTTGGTTTGATCAACTGTGGCACAGGAAAGTTGTGTTGTGATCTGTGGTGTGCTTACAGTACTGCGTGTACTTCAGATCATTTGTGTCTGGAAATTTCCTTCTAATTTTCTCTTGACAGTTGGGGAGAAAACTCAGGAATCTGAGGCTGTCTGGACAGGGAAAAGTTTGCACTAAGACTGGGAAGCCAGAGGTTGTTTTTCTTTGTATGATAGAGGAACAAGGGAAATGTGCTTCTTCCATTTTCTAAGCTGAGGAGAGGGCTACTCTTATTTCAAAGGGAGAAACTGAAGAATTTACCCTGCTGCCTTTCCTATTTGAGGATATTTGAAATGGGAATACATCTTTCAGGTCGAGGACTTCAAAAGGTCTGGAGAAGATTTCAAGACAAGTCAAATCCATCACGGTTATTGGTGGTGGCTTCTTGGCAGTGAGCTGGCCTGTGCTCTGGGAAGAAGAGGTAAGTGTGCCTCATGCAGGCAGCTGCTTTATCTGGCACCTTTACAGAAGTGACAGACACTGAGTGCAAGCAGCCTGACGTTTTTAAGCTTCCTTTCATTCCCCAGCTGCTGAATTTTCACACGGACTTGTGATTTGTCTGAAATAACCTTGATGCACATGCCTTTTGTTGGCCATATGGGCTGGCCTTGTTTTCAATTCTCTCATTAGCTGTCAAGCAGACCCTGACTACAATGTTTTTGTAAGTTGGGCTTTCTGTAAGCTTTGCAGACCAGTGCATGTCGCGAAGTCATTCCACCCTGTAAAAAGTAATATATTTGTGCTCTCATACTAAAAGGCATCGTAAAATTACTTCAAACTGAACTTTTTTTTTTAATTGTTAAACGCCTACAGCTTTCTGAATAGACTTTTACTGTTAACTTCTGCAGGATTTCAATAAGAAACCAAGATGTTAAGCATTTTAGTTTGAAGTTTGCTGTCTGTTATCCTAGAGTTTTCAGGTGTATGTGACAAAGTGGATGGTCACTTTTTGATTCCTGTGGAAAATGTGGGGGCCAGAACTCCCAGTTTTGGAGACCTCTGCCAAGCTCCTTGTGTAAAGCAAAGTGAAGCTTGTGTCCTGAAATCTGTGCTACTGCTCTTTATTGATGAGATGTAAGAAGTCTGCTCTTTGCTTTCCTCTCAGCGCGAACCAGAGGCCTGGAGGTGATTCAGCTGTTTCCAGAAAATGGCAATATGGGCAAAGTCTTGCCTGAATATCTGAGCAACTGGACCACAGAGAAAGTCAGAAAAGGTAAAGCTGTGTCTTAGTGCTCCCCTCTGCAAGTGGCTGAGCTGTGATGCTTAGATCAGTGGCTGTTGTGTAACTCTTCTTTGTACAACACAGATCTCTGCTTGTTCAGCCTGTGGAGTCTCAGGAAAACTGGGTCCGTTGCAAGGCGGCCCAAGTGCAGAACAGAACAAGTTGTGTTTCAGGCTTGCCCTTGAGCAGTTTGGGTAGCACAGGGCTGCCAGGGCTCTCACTTCTTAGTTGTTCCTCTGGCAAGGGCAAACAAATATGCATGGTGATGCCAGTGATACACCTGGAATATCACTACAGAGAGTGATCCCTACTGCTGATACAGCTTGCAAGTTCTGAGTTGCTCTAAGCCTCATGTAATTTTCCTTCTTACAGCCTAATCTAGTTGGCCTAGAATCAGTTTGAGAGAAGGATTGTGTAGCCCCATGCCTTATGCATTCACCTTTAGTGTAGTGTTAAATTGATCTGTAAGATCTGAGACACCTTTTTTTTCCCCGTTTCCTATATGTAGTGCAGAATCTGTTCCTCTGGATTGGTCAGTAGAGTGGGGACAGAGGAAGGAGGGAAACTGGGGCTGCAAACTACAGGACCCAGTAACTGATGGGTCCGATTTACTTCTTCTCCTTGTGGAAGCTTTCCTCGTAGAACCTCTGGGTCTGGCTGTAACAGAACAGTAGGTAATTAAATATCCTTATGGCCTGAGAACCTGTCTTAGGGAGTTCTTCTGGATGTGACTTTGCCATCATATGAGATGTACTTTCAACTGTCATTTAATTAGCTCTTTCTGACTTGTTGTCTGGATTTCTTTCTCCTTGTGATTCAGTAAAGATAAGGTAGTCTCCCTCTCGGTTCTTAAGCTGGTTCTTGCACTGCCTCCATCTTAGTTTGCACTAAGGACATCTGCTTCATGTGAAGACTATTGCTGAGCAAGTAATTACATTTCTTACGTTTGTTTCCAGAGGGTGTTAATGTTATGCCTAACGCCGTGGTCAAGTCTGTCTCTGTCTCTGGAAATCGACTGGTGATTAAACTAAAAGATGGCCGAAAGGTAAATTTAAATGCAAAGGATGGGTAAGTTTGCAGAGAGGCCACTGAGAGAATTAGAATAGTAATTATAAATTCTCAAACAGGTGGAGACTGATCACATTGTGGCTGCAGTAGGGCTGGAGCCTAATGTGGAATTAGCGAAATCTGCTGGTCTAGAGGTGGATTCTGACTTTGGAGGATTCCGGGTCAATGCAGAGCTGCAGGCACGCTCCAATATCTGGGTGGTGAGTATGTGGAGGAGTTTTTGTCCGCTAGTTAAGCTGATGCAGTCAAAACACACAGAATTGTGGGGTCTGACATACCTCAATTAAGTGAATAAGGCCAAGAACAGCAAGTTAGTGAGGCCACTTGTAGTGCATACCCTGCCAGCAGCCTTGGAGCCTGTTCATGCACTACAGCATGTTTTGTTACTGTGGTAATGAATGCATATTTTGAATATTTGTTCTGTGTAAGAGGAGTTGGGGTAAATTAAAATGTAGCACAAATTACGCTGTTGCATGGGAGTATTTAGAGCCTTTTTGGTGGGAGTCAGGACTCTGGCTCCTCTGAAAAACGCGTACTTGATACTGTCTTAATTTTCTGAAGATCAGTGAAAAATGTTGAGAAGGTGGAGCTTCTGTGCCTTGGGGAGCGGGAGCAGGTCTGAGTTGGGTTGTTAGGAAAACTCAGTTCATTATTTGAGTTGGTTCTCCTCCCAATGCCTTTTTTCTTTTGTGCATTAGTTTGAGCTTTTGATGTCTGTGTTCAGTCCTCACTGAATGAATCTCTTTTTAAGGCTGGGGATGCTGCCTGCTTCTATGATATCAAACTAGGTAGGAGACGTGTAGAGCACCACGATCATGCTGTTGTGAGTGGAAGGCTAGCTGGAGAAAACATGACGGGAGCTGCAAAACCCTACTGGCATCAGTCCATGTTCTGGTAACGTTCAGTTCTTCTTTTAGTATTTCTTATTTGACCATGTTGTAGGAGCTATGACAAGATATGCCTTGTAAACGTTCTGTTTTCTGACTGCAGTGAAGCTACAGCTGAGCTGGGTTCCTTGTACAGTTGGCTGGCATGTTATTGGTATTTCTTTCATTCTCCCCAGTCTGTATTTGAGATTTATGACCAGTAATTTAGAAATGCACATACAGAGATACCCATATTGTTTTGTGTAATGCATCTTTGTCCTCAGCATAGTTGGGAACACTTTTGACAGACTGTGCTTACTAAGTCCCAAACTACGGCAGAACCGACTACTATAAGCACATGAGTTCAAATTCAGCTGGTGCCCAGTTCAAGGAGGTGTTAAAGCAACGTGCAGTTCTCTTCAATCTTCTTTAAATGCACTCTCAAATATGCACTAAATAATTGTCTGTGCTGCTAAGTCTAGTGGTCATAAAACAAACATGCCAGAAGTTTAGTCAAATGACCTTAAGTAGAACCTGGAGGAATATTTGCTTCTGCCTCGACCCTGTCTCAAGTGACATTAGTACTTAGCAAGCAACACGGAAGACTTCTGCAAGTACTTATGACTAATTACAATTTAGTACAACTAGTAATTACAGGCAAGTAACTGTCTACCAGTGTTCATATCCATATCCTGAGGTCAGATGTTTAATTTTCTAAAGGGTCATGATACACAGATCTTGGAATTAGTTAAATTTCCTCCAAAAGAGTAGTTTTTAAGTTTTTATTCGCTAAGCTGGTTTCTTCTGAAACTGGTGACCTTAGATTTGCTCTATCTTGATTACTTCTTTCACACTGATGTATGCTGTGGTGGTTTTACTCAGGTGGGCAGCCAAGCTCCACCACAGCCGCTCTCACTCCCCCTCCTCAAAGAGAAAGAGGGAGAAAATACGATGAAAAGGGATTAAGGGTTGACATAAGGATCGCTCAACAATTATTATGACAGGCAAAACAGTAGGAAGATGGGAAGATTTATTATTACTAACAAGCTAGAGAAGTGAGAAACAAAGGAAAGAAACCGAAAACGCCTTGCGTGGGCTCTTCTCCATGGGCTACAGGTCCAGCCTGGAATCTGCTCCAGCAGGGGTTCTCCACAGGTCGCAGCCTCCTGCAGGCCCCATCCACCTGCTCCACTGTGGTCTCCTCCACGGGCTGCAGGGGCACAGCCTGCTCCACCATGGTCCTCACCACAGGCCACAGGGGACTTCTGCTCCGGTGCCTGGAGCACCTCCCACTCCTTCGCGGACCTTGGGGTCTGCAGGGCTCATCCTCACTCCTCTCTCTCCCAGCTGCTGTTCCTCAGCAGTTTTTTCCCCTTTCTTAAATATGCTGTCACAGAGGTGCAAACAACATCTCTTATTGGCTCAGCTCTGGCCAGCAGCGGGGCCCTTATCTAACATTGGGCAGCTTCTGGATTCTTCTCACAGAAGCCTCCCCTATGCCCTCCACCCCATACCAAAACCTTGCCACATAAACACACTACATATGCATCAGAGGTGGTGTTAGTCAGTGTGTGTGCCATGATCCCTCCTGCATGACACTGTCATTAGGGCTTGGGTTAGACTTGCCCTACATTTGTGATGCTAATCCTATAAATGACCTTTCTTTTTTTTTTTTTTTTTTTTTTTTTAATTTGGTTCATTCCTAGGAGTGATCTGGGCCCTGATGTAGGGTATGAAGCCATTGGACTTGTTGACAGTACTTTACCAACAGTAGGGGTTTTTGCTAAAGCAACAGCAAAGGACACACCAAAATCTGCAACGGAGCAATCAGGTAGGTGTACAGCCTTCCTTGGGAGCTGTTTGTGTGCATGCAGGTTTTTGTGTCTTGTTCTGTGTAGTGGCAACAGTCAGTCTGATCTCACGGCGGAGCACTCTAAGACACATCATCTGTAAGCTTCTTTTCTAGACCAAGCTTTGAATGCTGGTTTTAATGTTAAAACATGATTAAAACAGTGTTCACCAATACCACATCATGTAACTCATTTACCAGATTAAACACTTTATTTTCCCAGTCAAGATAAATTTCCTCCACAGCAATAAACTGATCAGGGTATGCACAAAAGAAATTGTGCAAATCTAAGCATATTTATTTTGCATATACAGTCTGCAAGAAGGAGACTGTTCAAGGTCCCAGTCTAAGGTCCTGTAAGGGTTGGGGCAAACCCAAACTTCAGTACAGATAGGGTGATGCATGGATTGAGAGCAACCATGTGGCGAAGGACTTAGGAGGGTATTGGTGGATGAAATACTTGGCATGAGCTAGCAATGTGTGCCTGCAGCCCAGAAAGCTACTTAAAGGGGGACTACAAGAAAGATGGGGAAGAGATACTTTACCAGGGTGTGTAGTGATACAAAAAGAAGTAACAGTTTTAAACTAGGAGAGAGTAGATTTAGATGATAGAAAGAAGAAATTATTTACAATGATGGCTAGATACCTGGACAGAGTTGTCCAAGGAAGTTGTGGATGCTCCCTCCCTGGAAGCGCTCAAGGTCAGGCTGGATGGGAATTTGAGCAACCTGATGTAGTGCAGCTCATGTCCTTGCCCATGGCAGGGGTTCAGAATTAAGGCCTCTTCCAACCCAAACCGTTCGGTGAGTCTACAGCGTGTTTGGTGACGGAAGCCAGGAGTTGTCAGCGTTATGCTTTGTGTTAGGATTGCTTCATTATTGTGTTAAAGAATCCTAACTTTTGCTGGCGTCAAGTCAAAGAAAAACACACCTCAGTCTCTTACAGAAGCCTTCTCTTTAGCCTGCCTTTATCACCGCAGGTAGGGAGCTGCTGCCTTTTTCTGCACTGGTTCTTTGACGTGACATCTTTACATTAGGGACAGGTATCCGATCGGAAAGTGAAACTGAAGCAGAAGCTTCAGAAGTTCCCACTTCTCCGAGTGCTTCACCAACGCCTCACGTTCCAAAGGAAGGAGAAGATTATGGCAAAGGTGTCGTTTTCTACCTCAGGGACAAAGTTGTGGTGGGAATTGTGTTATGGAATATCTTCAACAGGATGCCTATAGCTCGCAAGGTCAGTACAGGACTAGTATGCTGAACAGGGGGACTGTTGCTTTCAGCTTGCTTAGATCTGGGATTTGCTTGTCGAAAAGTAAATCTGCCAAATGAAATGAGACTGACTGAATGCAGATAAACTTCTGTAATGAAATGTCAAGTCTGGCAGATGAAAGCAGAGCAGTGACTATCGTCTTCCTGGACTTCAGGAAGGTCTTCAACACTGTGTCCCATTAAGATCCTCACAAAGAAGCTGGTGAAGTCTGTGTTGTAGACAGATATTGCTACATTTCAATTTGGCTGTAGTAAATACTGTTGTCATGTGGTGGTGGTGGTGGTTTTATCCTACTGGGCAGCCAAACTGCAACACAGCTGCTCTCTCACTCCCCATCCTCAAAGGGAGAGGGGGAGAAAATATAATGAAAAAATGGCTCAAGGGTTAAGATAAGGACAGGGAGATCACTCTGCAGTTATTGTCACAGACAATATATTGTCACCAGGAGGCTTTTAGAGAGGATCTAAAATGTGTGGCATTGGCTGGGTGACTGTGTAGGGTTTGCAGTACTGTTTTTTTATAGCATATACAGGTTTTAATGCAAGCTCCCTTCTTCCAGATCATCAAAGATGGGGAAGAGCATGCTGATCTCAATGAAGTAGCAAAGCTTTTCAACATCCACGAAGACTGAGCTCCAGAATTTAATCGCTGCAATAGGAGTAGGGCAGCAGGTTCTTGCTGACTGTGTGTACCCCTTCATCTTGGAGAACTTGCTCTGAGCACTTGTTAATATTTCCCATCACCTAGAATTCTAATGTTTGCACCAATAAAATCAGATTCTTCTAACTTAAATGTCTTCTTCCTGCACATGTGCATTACTGGTTTTGAAAGGGGAGCGTGCTGTGTGCCTCTCTAAGCTTTTCCCGCTTACCAACAACGAAGAAGCCTGCAGAAGTGCCTGTTTTCTTGCAGCACGTTCTGGCTGGAGAGCTTTCAGTACTGCTGGCTAACTTTGGGGAGGGCTGTGCTCTTGGGAGTTGTTATGAGACTGCTGGAAGAGGGACACTGGTGCAGGTTTGGAGAAAACAGGTTGGAGGGGGTGGGGAGAACCATTCACTGGTGATGCCAGACCCAGGGTGTGCTAGCAGGAGCATGTTAGCTCCCGTGCTGCCGTGTGGGAGTTGGGGTGCTCTCTGATAAAACTGAGATCTCAGCTGTTCCTGAAAGGTTAAAAGAGATGCAGAGCTGGGTTACAGCACCATACAGGGGAGTGGAGCCAGAGAGGTAGCATTTCAAAGTGTAGCTGGAGATGATTTCCACCAGTCCTGGGACTAGTACTGCTTAATATCTTTACCAGTGACACGGTGGGATCAAGCGAACCCTGAGCAAAGTTTGCAGCTGAAACCAGGTTGGGAGGGAAGTGTTGGTCTGATGGAGGGTAGGAAGGCCCTGCAGAAGGATCTGGACAGGTCAGGTTGATGGGCAGAGGCGAATGGGATGAGGTTCAACATGGCTAAGTGCTGGATCCTGCACTTTAGCCACAACAACCCCATGCAATGCTATAGGCTTGGGGCAGAGTGGCTGGAAAGCTGTGCGGAGGAAAAGGACCTGGGGGTGTTAATTGATATGCACCTGACCATGAGCCAGCAGTGTGCCCAGGTGGCAGAGAAGGCCAACGGCATCCTGGCTCGTATCAGCCAGGGTTTGGCTGGACAAATGAACTGTCCTGTACTGAATTAGTGTCCTCAGGAGAGAGTATTGGTCTTTTGAATAATCTGCTTACTTGATTTTGGTATAATCCTGTGTAAATCAAGGTGCACAGAGTTCTGGTAATAATTCTGTAAGCTGGCCTGTTACTTTGAAATGCTAACAAGGACTGAGTATCCAACAGAAAGGCCAGTCCAAATAACTGATTGTCCAAATTGTGGGATGCAATGTTGGGTCAGTTTGGAACTAGGGGGTGAATTAAATTGTCCAAACTATGCGTTTTGGAGGGAAACTGGCAAATTGATTCTGTAAATAGGAGAGGTCACATTCCTGTGGAGGTGGGTAGTTTTTGTCTGGAAAAACACACTGAGGACTTGGGAAAACGTTGGCATACGTGATCTTAGTGAGTGTTGTCTTTTTCGTTGGCACTCAGAGCAACTTATCAGACAACTCACTGCCTGAAGAGTCCCACGATTGATGCTGTGCCTTAGCCGACAAGAATAAGTCAGGTGTAGAACCTCACTAACTGATGGGTATGCAGAGGGCCACAAGGGGAAAATATGTGGCCATGGCTCTCCGTTCCCTTGGCACCTAAGTAGCTGGTTGGTTAGCAACCAAAGCAAACTGCAAGTGAATAAAACAGAGCCATGAGACAACCCTGATGTGCCTCCTTGGGCAATCTGTTATCCAGGAAAAAGCATTTATTGCATAAAGAGTAATCAGGCTGACAGTGCATTCCTAGGACACAGCTGATGTAACTGGACTTCCAATACAGCTTCAGTGATTAACAGAAGAAGCAGCAATCCAGAAGCCACCGTTTATTGTCACCAGTGGAACTGGATAAATCAATCTGGGCGCGTAGTGATGTTGGAGGAGTACTGGTCCTCAACAAACCTTACCAATATTGCCAATAGCAATAAAGAGATCAATTGCTCTTCTGAAGATGGGGCCTGGAGATACAGTAATACCCGGTAAAATCATCGAACCAAGACATTTCATCCCATGGGTTCAGGGAAAATGTGTTATTGCTACACACCAGATAAAAATTACTAAGCTGATTTATTCCCTAAGAGAGCTGAGGCATTAAAATAACAGTAGCAGTTAAAAGGGAGCCAAGCTTGCAGAGCACTTCCTGTTACTTCCAAAGGTACCAGTTCTGTTGGACTTCTCAGGCCACCATTCTTTCTGATACCAGAACGCGAAGGTAAGGGATTGGAAATCCAATGACGGGATGATCTTAAAAGAGAAAAGAGGTCAGGAGATACATCCCTAGCTTCTGGAAGTAACCAGAAATGGGGTACAGATGAGTGGCCTCCAGAGAGAATCACCCAACGTTATGGGCCAGCCGCTTGGAAGCCGAAGGAGGTGGTTGCAGGAGCTCGGCAGGTAATAGCCATGTGCAACCTACATCGAATCCTAAGGGGGCAGGCAGTATTTGAAAGCGTCACCGACCAAACCGCCAAGGTTCCTGACTTGCTCGCTGATCAAGCCACCCAGATGCGATGCGAGCTGCAATAATGCTACGTCTCCTGGTCCTCGATGACTTACTAGCACGAGGAGGAGGTGCCTATGGACAAAGCCAAACGATTCAAGCTGCTGTCTTCAAATCGATGACAACAGGAAAGTCATGGAAGAAATTACAAAAGGCAATTAGAAAAGTAGCTCCCGTCCAGACCGGGAAGGTCTTGAACCTGGAAGGGAACATCTGGTCCTGGCTCCCAGGAGCAGCACGGGGAAAACAGGATTTGATTTGTTCCTGGGATCCATCTTCTTCAGGACGATGCCTTGTTTAATCTCTTTTCTGAGGAAGTGAATTTGAAGGCTTCAGTCAGTCCTAAAGTCTCTGAAGATAGTAACTCTTAAGGGGCCACCAGCAAAGATTCTGCTAGGAAGCCAGGATCGGCAGGATGTAGCAGATGAAAGGGACTTGCTCCTAGTGGAGTAAAAGGGCAAAAAACGCAGAGCAGAGAGCAGAAAGAAACGAGGAAGGAATTGTAAGCAAGAGTAGGTGTGTGCAAAAGGAGGAGCGTTGCACCCCCATGCTGCGTCTCGAACCCCTGACCTCAGATCTCTCTCCACGTCGCGAGGTCAGGGTTATGCGAGCGCCTCAAGCCGGTGAGCCACCGCCGCCTCCTCGGGGGGCGGGGCTCCGGCTGGCCCCAAGAGCTGAGTGGCCGGTGGGGCAATCGGGGGCGGGGCTATGCAAATGAAGCAAGGCCGGGGGGGGCCGAGCGGAGCCGAGCGGAGCCGAGCGGAGCCGAGCGGAGCCGAGCGGAGCCGAGCGGAGCCGAGCGGAGCGGGGGGGGCCGAGGGGGCATGGACGTGGCTAGAAATACCTGAGGGGAGGGAGGGAAGCCAGGGAGAGGAGGGGAGGGGGGGGAGAGGCTGGGAGAGGCTGGGAGAGGCTAGGAGGGGCTAGGAGAGGCTAGCAGAGGGGGGGCTTGCTCCATCGCCTCTCTCCCCAGGAAACAATCGGGATTGGTAAAGCCGGGAAGGGAAGAACGGGGGCTCGCTTCATGGCGTTAGAAAAGAGCTGGTGCTGAGTGTCTTTGCTTGCTGCTGTGCTTTTATCCCTAACAATACTGCTCCGGATGGCACAGTAACAAGAGCATTGCAAGGGCTTACCACCCTTGCCGATGAATTGGCAGAAAATTCAGGAGCAGACACTTCCATCACAGGATGGTTGGAATCTTGGTTTGGTAAATGGAAAGGGATGGTAATGTCCATATTTACATCCTTGATCGTAGCTGTAGGAGTTTTGACAGCCATTGGTTGCTGCATTATCCCCTGTGGAAGAGGACTAGTACAGTGGTTAACTGAAAGCGCACTATGGAAACAAATGACCATGGAGCCACCACCTTACTCAGATAAGGTGATAATGAGGAGATGGAAAGCAAAGAAAGCGAAGAAGAAAAAATCTACCAAGTTACACCTTAGAGAAAGGTTTTGCAAAAATCAACGGTTGATAAAAAAAAAAAAAAAGAAAAGTGTCGTCGACGGAAGGAAGACACAAGCACTCAATATGGGTGATCAATATGCTTCAACTTTAATAGATAGCCCAGTCGATATATATTGAGTACAAGATAATTAGCTTATACATATTACAAAAGCTAAGCTCATGATTGGTTTTTGCTATATCCTGTTAGTGCAGACAGTTCTGCATTCTTATAACCACAAGTTCTCTTTCTAGGGCTAACTATAGCCCCCAGGGCGCTGTGTTCTTCTTCCCCTTTGGCTCAGCTGCCAGCCTTGCGTATTACCACAGGCGCCGTCTGCCTAAACTTAGACTAGCTGTGTTCTGTATTTGGCAAGGTCGTCCTCATCTAGTTGCTCAATGTTTATGTGACCTCTATCCTCAAGCCAGTCCTCTACAATTCCCCCGTTTTTATTTTGGATCAGAAAAACCTTCTCCGATAGCTGTTCAAGCTTTCTGGTTAAGCAACTAAAGATTATTTTTGCGGCAATTATGATTAATATGATTATTAGCAAGATGCGTAAGCCTTCTTTGATCAGTCTCATAAACCAACCTCCGACATTACCGAACAGTTTTCTAAGCATATTATCAAACCAATTATTCTCTACCTTGATCTTCTGAGTGTGAATCCTTAGCCACTTTAGTTGGTCGTGGATTGATTGACCATGATCCGAGAGATTAAAGCAACACATTCCCTCAAAGTCTTCACATCCATGTCCTTGTGCTAATAGCAAAAAATCAACAGCAGCTCTATTTTGCAGTACGGCATGCCGCAAGCTGTCCATGTCTTGTGACAATTCAGTAATTATTTCTGTTGTAACATTTGATTGCTTAACAGCCCAGCAAGCAAGCTTTCCTAAATTAGTCATAGCGTGAGCAACTGCCACTCCTGGCGCTAAAGCCGCAGCAAAAATCCTTTTTGCAGGGCCCCACAACTGCACATCATCTCTACAATCAGACCCCAATGTTGTTAGGCTTCGCTTAGATCGTTGATAAATCTGCATTGCTCGAGTTAAATTTAACCATTGTCGATCGTGTAGATTAGGACAGAAAAGTGTTAGTCGGCCTATGTAACAGGGACCCCCCATTGGGTTAGCTGGTACTCCCTGCCATGCCCTGTCCCCGCAAATTAAAAATATTCCCGGGGGTAAGGCCTTAGGTCCCCGAAGAC